GGGTGTTTCACCTTTTTCAACCACATTTTGATGTTGTCAGTCCGGGGAGTTGAACCTGCGACTTTCCGGTCACAGGCCCATCTTCTCTGACCTTCTCTAAGTTTTGACACTTGTTTAAGCTGCAACACTTTTAGCTACGGTCAGATTATCTTCCGTGATATTAGATCTTCTCAGCTAACATGTTTACATGTTTTAAAGCTTCCAGGTTAAAATCAGGCTTCAGTGAAGACAGACAGGGTTACAGCTGTCATGACATTAATGTGCCGACAGTGGCAAATATGAAACAACTCGTTGAAACTGACGTGTTGCTGCAGTTTCCTTCAACTTATATCTGATATGAATATCAGATAAGATAAGTCATCCCATGGAAGACCTGAGGCCCTTCTCATTTTCTGTGGCTGGTTGGCTTGATTGGGCCTGAGTGAAACAGAGTTGCTTTAATATTCCAGTAATTAATTTAAAACATTCACATCAATCATCCACGTGGATTCCATACGTGGTGACTGATGTGTTTAACACAATAAATAACCACAGTTTATATTATGGAAGCTGGTTTGTGAGTTTCTTCACTGACTCTTTAACATGTCAGTGTTTGCAGGTCCCCAGAGACAGAATAATGTTCAGTTCTGCTTCACTGCACAGGCCTCCTGCCTCCTTTAAAGACGATACACTTCCAGCACCCAAAGTTTCCCACTGTGCGTTTCATAAATGTTGATCCTGCACGACTTCAAGCCCCATCCGTAAAAGTTTGCACAGGATAGCTGCACGACTCCTGCCAGCTCCGATGAAAGAGAAATACATCAAGCCTGCTTCAACACGTCCAGTTGAAAACAAAAAGTCGTTTAGAAAACCACAATTAACTCTTAAAAAAAAAATCTCCTTTGGGGCAGGACGGTGGGTTAAAAGTTGTGATTTTCTGTGTGATAGAAAGAAAAGTTTTTAGATGGCACCTCAATGGATAGTTGAGCTTCACCATTATTCAGTGAGTTATTTCAAGATTTAAAATACTATAACTGAGGGAACTGCTATCAGACTCCTGGCTAGGAGAGGGGGTAAGTAATTGGACTGTACTTATACAGTATAGCACCTTCTATTTAATCAAGATACTCAGAACGCTTTACAATATGTGCCCTCATTTACCCATTCATACATCACTCTACTAGATCTATACAAAGAATAATCAGTGCTTTATCACATTCATACACCGATGGGACGCACATCAGAGGCAATGAGGGGTTCAGTGTCTTGCCCAGGGACTCTTCGGCATGTGAATGCTGGTGGAATCAAACCTCCAACTCTTGCGTTGGAGGACGACTGCTCTAACCACTCAGCCACAGCTGCCCTTTGAGTATTCAAGAGAGGCCTCAAAAGAAGACAGTCCAGTAGCAGAGGAGGTCGAGGTGTTGTGGATGTATTCAGTCCAGACCAAATGTTGACTCAGGAGGGATTGTTGTCGATAAAGCACCTAAATGCAGCCTCCAGTTCCTGGTTACATCTCTCTGTCTGACCATTGGACTGGGAATGGTATGTGAGACTGACCAAAGCACCGAGGGCACTGCAGAATGACCTCAAGACCTGGGAGATAAACTGAAGACCTAGATCAGAGGCGAAGTGCCATGAATGTGGAAGACTTGATTAACTGTAGGAGCTGAGCGGTCAGTGTGCTGATTTAGAGAAGCGGTCAACAGTGGTTAAGCTGGTGGAATTTCCTTCTGAAGGTGGCAGACCAGTGACCAAGTCCAGAGCAATATGGGGCCAGGATCTGCTGAGCGGCTGAAGGAGGCCGGCGGGACATTGGTTTCCATGCTTATTTCTTGCACATAGGACAAACTTTAACATACGCCTTCATGTCATTATTCACTAGGTCACCAAAAATGTACTTTAGTTAAAAACAACATTTAGTTTAATCCACAGTCACAGATAAGTTTGGACATGTGAACCTACTCAAGAACTTTCAGAAGCCATACTTGTACATAAAGTCCTTCATGGTTTGGTTCCACCACCGCTAAAAGACTTTGTCCAATTACATTTACAACCAAACATATCTACAAGAGCAGTTATTAGGGGAGACTGTAAAATACCATTTAGAAAAAGTTCATTTGGTCAGTCGTCATTTCCTGTTCGGGCTCCAAATTCTGAATTTAATAAACTACCATTAGAATGAAGAAATATTACATCATTCAACTATTTTAGGAAATCACTTAAGCAATGGTTACTAGATAATCAAAATTGTACTCATGTTTTGAATAATTCTTAAATCAACTTTTAGCTTGTTCCTTTTTCCTTCCTTTTCCCCCTTTTATGGTCGTGACTTGTTTTTATTTATTTATTTTTATAAATGTTTACTGTATATTCCACTACTTTTAGCTAATTTTCAAATTGTCATAACTTATAGGTCATGTAAGATGTCATGCATGTTAAGTGTAATTTAAAAAAAAAATCTTTTACATCAACCTGCTAGGGGACTACAGATGGAATATGGCATATTTATGTGATGTATTCATGTTCATTATGTGACGTATTCATGTCATGAGATTAATATGCATTGCCCCTTTATGAAATTAACATAAAAATAAAAAAACTTGATCTTTCATAAGAACAAGGACTGCGTTCAGTCTTTTAGCACCTTGAACGCAAGTGAGATTCTTGTGGTCTATCCAAATTATGAAAGGCTGTTCAGACCTCTGCAGCCAGTGTCTCCACTCCAAGAGCAAGTTTAATGGTTAACAACTCATGATTGCAGTTTTGCTCAGTGGGGACAGATATCAAGAGAATAAAGCACAAGGATGGAGTTTATTGTCGACTTCTGATCGTTGGGAGAGAACATCCCCCATTCCAGAGTCTGAGGTGTCCACTTCAAGGACTAACTGCTGCTTAGGGTCTGGATGGGATAGAATAGGTGCAAAAGTTAAAAGTTATTTTAATTAGCTAAAAGTTGAGTTTGCTTCCAGCGACCAGGTTAAAGATCTGAGGGTAGATTTGAGTTTAGAGAGAGGTAAGGAAGTTTGACTGGAATCTTCGATAAACTGTTGTAAGAAATTTTCAAGCCCAAGAAAGCGATGAAGTGTTTTCCAGTTCTCAAGTGTTAGTGATGGAAAAAAAAACAGAATCGTCACAGTGCAGTGGTTCATGAGTTTGCTAACACTGCGTTTTTCAAAGTGGGGGCCGGAAAGCTGGAGAAAAGATTTTAAAAAAGCAAAAATAAAAACAATAATAATAAAAATTGCACACTAGTGCAATCTGTGTCATTTCCAGATCAACACGCTTGAGAGAGGGGTTAGATTTATTTTATTTTGTTCTTCTGGTCAAGTTAAAACATTCTAAAAGTTGGCGTGTCTTTACACATTTTGTAGCATTGTTTGTGGGTTTGCGAGGGGGGCCCTCGGCCAGAAGCTAATGCTGTTTGGGGGGGCCATGACATGGAAAAGTTTGGGAACCCCTGTGCTAACAGATAGGCACAAAAGCACAGGCAAAAACATTATAATTATGAATAAATGCTGTTTACACATTACGAATCCTAAATAATTGCCCCTACATTTTTAGAATTTCAATTATTAATCCAACTGTGATCAGATATTTAAATAAGATTTGCTGCTTGCTGTCTATACAGTGAATTCTATGGATTTATTTTCCTGCTGAAATTAGGACTTTTTAATAGAAACACTCTTCAAATGGGAGAAAGCACAATTCTACTTCATTATTAAACAAAGGGGAGGAAACAAAAGATTACACGTCTGTTCAAACAGAGACTGAAATACTGTGGAGGAGAATGTAATGTTGCACTAAATTACTGTCATTGGAAGCTTGTATGGTTACCCAGCTATCCATCACTGTCACCCAGAGAGGGAAGAGGGGGGGAGGCAGAGCAGACAGGCGCCAGGCTCAGCAGGATCAAAGCAGGAACATACCTCAGGGAGAGAAACGGTTAACTCCATTTAACCAATTGTCCTACACACAGACTGGGAGTCACAGTGTGGCGCTTCAGGCTGAGCAGCAGCAGAAAAGGCTTCACATATTTGGTTTCAGTGGAAACGATTTGAGTTGATTTGAAGGAACAAAACCAATCTGCAGGAGCCTCTTCAAAGGTCTGTCGAGAAGGATCGCAGACAAGCCAAACACGACCGGATGAAATACGACCACAGACAATTAGATTACAGGCCGCAACATCAAAATTTACAGTGATAATAATTCTCAAGGCCATAAAGGCTGCAGTAAAGTTCAGCTGGGATTGTTTTAATGAACTACTGTTTAGTTTGTCCTCAATGACAGATTCCCAGATGGGCCCCTTGTAACAAGGAGCGTCACCATAACCACAATTTATTACACATATAACACAATACATGTTATTTAATCTGTTCAAAACACTTTCAAACAACCAGAAAGCCAGACCCATTGATATTTATCACCTGCCACCAAAAGGCAAATTTAGGTGATAATTTATTTTATATTTTGCCTGTGACTGTGTGTCCAAATGTGTCTGTTAGCAACATTTCTCACGAATCACTGAATAAATTTTAATGAAACGTTCAGGTTCTAAAAAAATTAAATGCACATTTACAGTTTTGGCTGCAACCAAATCCAAGATAGTCGCCACAGCAAAAAGGATATAACTCAGTAAGTTTTGCAGATATTGGCCTGGTAGTAGCTGAGACTGATCCCCAGCATTGATGTTGAACATTATGCATATTCAACGTTTTTCCATCAAATCATCTTCGTTAAAAACTCTAATATAAAAGGCAGAGTGCATTTTCTATTTTTTTTTTAACATTTTTATATAAAAATGGGGTGTGGTGCTGAGTCAGCTGCTCATTTAAAATAAAATGTTGATCAGAGCAGCTCAAGAGTTATACTTTTAAGAAAAGTCAAGGTGAGGGCAAAGGAACTCGCTCTGCTGCTGATGAGAAGTTCACATAAACATCAAATTAAGCGCAACACTGACGTCAGGCCTATCAGAAGGCTTCGGTTGAGTCACGTGGTCAAATCTAAAATCTGATTGGCTGGCGACAAGATAAGCGACTGAGAGGCAAACCCGTGCGTAAAAGACGAAGTTTGTCACTCAGCTGCGCAACGTCGGAGGATTAAACGTGTTTTTCATCAGGAGAAACATCCAGAAAACACGCAGCGGCGGGAAACCCGGCTGCATGGCACCACAGTCGTGCGTAATGAATCCTGCGCAGGGATCCCCCCCGCCTGAGGACAGAGGCTCCGCCGGAGAGCTGTGCGTCGTGTCACCTGTCAGATGCAAAAGCACAAGTTCGGATCTTCCTTTCAGTGTGGAGTCTCTCATGTCGGACAGAGCCCCTCCCGGAAGGAGCCCCCGCTCCTCTGAACCCGGCTCAGGATGCGTCCGGACGGAGGAGTGCGCGTCACCGAGGGGGTCCAAGCTGGAGGCGGTGGATGAGACCGAAGCCTGGCTTCAGGGTCCATCACCTACAAGTAAGAGTCAAATCTTTAAAAATGTTAAATAAATAAAAAAAACTGTAGATTTAGGTGGATCCTAAAAAAAAAAAACATTGATACTTTTGTAAAACAAAAGTTGAGACTGAAGGAGCAGAACAAATAAGGAAAACGGATCTTTTCTAAAAGGTTAACTGCATTTTACAGCTCTTTTGGGAAGTTTTAATAATATGAATAACTAAATTAATACTTTAAAAGTGGCCAGCGGACATGAAGGCCTTTGTTAAAATGGTGTTTTATGTTTTGCCAGATTGGCTTTAAAAAAAGAACCAAATATTAAACAAACAAAAAAAAAATTACAGATTTGATTGTTAATCTGCCCCTCCAGGACTCCCCAGCCCGACCCAGTGCAACCTGAGGAAACACAAGAACAACAGGAAGCCCCGGACCCCCTTCACCACCTCCCAGCTGCTCTCCCTGGAGAGGAGGTTCCGTCAGAAACAGTACCTCTCCATCGCGGAGAGAGCAGAGTTCTCCAGCTCCCTGAACCTCACAGAGACCCAGGTCAAGATCTGGTTCCAGAACCGCCGGGCCAAGGCCAAGAGACTGCAGGAGGCCGAGCTGGAGAAGGTGAAGCTGGCCGCCAAGCCGCTGCTCCCTGCCTTTGCCTTCCCCTTCCCGCTGAGCGCACCCATGGGCGCACCGGCTCTTTACGGGGCCCTGAACGCACCAGGGCCGGTCTTATCCGTGCCAGGACTTTTCAGTAGACCTTATGGGATGTACTACTTGTCTTAAAGAACTCTTTATAAGCTGCGTGGAAGGAAGAGCAGCATAAACATTTGTGGGAAAATATTTTCTTTCGACTATTTTTAATTCAGCTTTGTATCATAAAATATATATATTTTTGGAATAGTAAAAAAAAAAAAAAAAAAAGCAAAAATGTTTTTAAAGAATCAGATTTCATTTAAAATTTCAATTTTTGAAGGAAAATAATAATAAAAAGGTTTTTCTGATTTAAAGATGAGGTAAATTATTTGTTTTTGAGGTTATTTAGTGAAATATTTTTTGGGGGTGAAATGTTTAGACATTGTTTGCTTTAGTTGAGGCTTTCCTGCATGTTTTATATTTTTATTTTTATTTTTTTTTTACCAGCGGGAAAAAACTTTTTTTTTTAAATATATATCTAAAGGAATTGTAAGAAACCTGAAATTATTTGAGAGAGCAAACACTGAATATCTTTTTAATATTCAGGGGATTTTTATGAATTAATACATTCAATATATATATACACCGACCAAATTAAATAAAAAAAAATAATAATTTCACACAAAGCAGTATCTCCAAAGCTTGGTTTAAGTTATTTTGCTGGGCTGTATTGTGCTTAAACTTACTCGTTATAGAAAATGAAGAACTTCATGTTTATTGTATTAGTGCTGTAAACCGTTAAGAATCGTGTAGAAAATGAAAGGAATCTTCAATCACAAGTATAAAAATATCGAAACACCATTTTCTTACTAGCGGAAGGATTTCAAAGTGTTTCTGGAGGCAAATAAATGTTTTTTTTTTTTTTTTTTAAATCACATTTTTATGCGCTGGAACGAAAAATAACATAAAAATCCAAGTCTTAAAGAAACTGAGCCTCTTGATGAAAATAAATTCTCAACTATCAACATCTAAATTTAACATATGAATTATATCTGATAGAAAATGGATACACGTTTTTCTTTAACTCTTAAAAGTGTTGCTCAGTGACGTCACCTGGAGCTGCAAGATGTTTTAGATTGATTTTCTAAATTTAAATACATCTTTTCTCATATCCATCAGAAACAACTTGTCTAAAATCTGTATTTTCTATTTGCTCAAAGTGGTAAAAATATACTGTTTATTTCAAAGCTGAAAACAATTTATAAAAGTATTTACATTTGAAAATAAAATAATAAATGAAAAGCTCTAATCATCTGTGCAGCTGCCTGCAAACAGAAACCTGACCTCACCTGAATAAAGAACTAATTGCATCAAAAATAATCTTTATTTTCACTTCATTAAATACAGCGAAGCAAACGGAATATGTTCAAGAGGCAGAATGGTGTCATCTATAAACCCAGTAAACAATTGTTTCATTTCCTTCTGGTTTGTCGTCCTCTGAAGCCTCGGACTGAACCGTGACCGAAGCACACAGTTGAAGGAACCCTGGAAAAAACAAAATGATTTTTTTAAAAAAGAAAAAAACTTATTTTTCCAGATGAATCCACACAAACAAAAATAATAATAATTCAGATAATTGGCGCAAGAGTTACCTTAAAGACGGGACTTTGAGCCTAAATCTGACTTTAAATGTTAAAGACGGGGCAGAGCTGACCGACCTGTAGGAGTATTGTGGTTTTGGAGGAGCTGCGTTTGTTTGTGAGCTCGGAGCTGCAGCAGCTTCTTCACTCGGCTCGTGCGTCTCCATGGATTCCTCCTGCTCAGGATCATCAGGCGGCACGTTGCACAAAACGTCACAGACGCCCTCAGACTCGCACACTTCAACCTCCATGGCCGTGTCTTTTTGCTGTGGCCTCTTTGCTTCTCTATTTAAAAAAAATATATATACAAAAACCAACAGTGTTGTATTTACACTTTACACACCGATTTCTCATGAAACGTCAACTGGAAATCTAAAAGTGATCCTTTGCTTCATCCAGTATCATCCAAACTTAACATTCCTTAAAGGAATGAATATCACCAGCCAAATTTCATACAAAACAAGAAGTTTTTACACAAATTTTACCTCAATATCTGTAAAAATGACAAAACTGTGGCTATTTTTGTGTTTTTAATCATAAGCTAGATGTGGTGGCCATCTTGAATTAGTTAGGCTCCAAAAAGTTAATCAGTGGTAGATTTACATCGAGAGATCGATAGGCGGATGGGTGCAGCGTCGGCAGTGAAGCGGGCGTTGTACCGGTCTGTCGTGGTGAAGAGAGAGCTGAGTTAAAAGGCGAAGCTCTCAATTTACCGGTCGATCTACGTTCCTACCCTCATCCATGGTCATGAGCTTTGGGTTGTGACCGAAAGAATGAGATCACGGATACAAGCGGCCGAAATGAGTTTTCTCTGCAGGGTGTCTGGGCTCTCCCTTAGAGAGAGGGTGAGAAGCTCAGTCATCCGGGAGGGACTCAGAGTAGAGCTGCTGCTTCTCCACATCGAGAGGAGCCAGTGGGACATTTGGTTAGGATGCCGCGTCCCTGGTGAGGTGTTCCAGACATGTCCCACTGGGAGGAGACCCAGAGGAAGACCCAGGACACGCTGGAGGAACTATGTTTCTTAGCTGGCCTGGGAACGCCTTGGGATTCCCCCAGAGGAGCTGGACAAAGTGGCTCTGGAGAGGGAAGTCTGGGCCTCCCTACTTAGGCTGCCGCGACCCGACCCCGGACAAGTGGAAGAAAATGGATGGATGAATGGATTTACAGACAAAGATTACTTTGTGCAAGTTTTATTAAATATACAGTGCCTTGCGAAAGTATTCGGCCCCCCTTGAACTTTTCAACCTTTTGCCACATTTCAGGCTTCAAACATAAAGATATAAAATTTTAATTTTTTGTGAACAATCAACAACAAGTGGGACACAATCGTGAAGTGGAATGAAATTTATTGGATGTGTCAAACTTTTTTAACAAATAAAAAACTGTAAAGTGGGGTGTGCAATATTATTCGGCCCCCTTGCGTTAATCCTTTGTAGCGCCGCCTGTTGCTGCAGTTCCAGCTGCAAGTCTCTTGGGGTTTGTCTCTGTCAGTTTTGCACATGGAGAGACTGAAATTCTTGCTCACTCTTCGTTGCAAAACAGCTCGAGCTCAGTGAGGTTGGATGGAGAGCGTTTGTGAACAGCAGTCTTCAGCTCTTTCCACAGATTCTCGATTGGATTCAGGTCTGGACTTTGACTTGGCCATTCCAACACCTGGATACGTTTATTTGTGAACCATTCCATTGTAGATTTGGCTTTATGTTTTGGATCATTGTCTTGTTGGAAGATAAATCTCCATCCCAGTCTCAGGTCTCTTGCAGACTCAAACAGGTTTTCTTCCAGAATGGTCCTGTATTTGGCCCCATCCATCTTCCCATCAATTCTGACCATCTTCCCTGTCCCTGCTGACGAAAAGCAGGCCCAAACTATGATGCTGCCACCACCATGTTTGACAGTGGGGATGGTGTGTTCAGGGTGATGAGCTGTGTTGCTTTTACGCCATTCATATAGTTTTGCATTGTGGCCAAACAGTTCGATTTTGGTTTCATGTGACCAGAGCACCTTCTTCCACATGTTTGGTGTGTCTCCCAGGTGCTTGTGACAAACTTTAAACAACACTTTTTATGGATATCTTTGAGAAATGGCTTTCTTCTTGCCACTCTTGCATAAAGGCCAGATTTGTGCAGTGTACGACTGATTGTTGTCCTATGGACAGACTCTCCCACCTCAGCTGTAGATCTCTGCAGTTCATCCAGAGTGATCATGGACCTCTTGGCTGCATCTCTGATCAGTCTTCTCCTTGTTCCGGATGAAAGTTTAGAGGGACGGCCGGGTCTTGGTAGATTTGCAGTGGTCTGATACTCCTTCCATTTCAATATGATTGCTTGCACAGTGCTCCTTGGGATGTTTAAAGCTTGGGAAATCTTTTTGTATCCAAATCCGGCTTTAAACTTCTCCACAACAGTACCTTGGACCTGCCTGGTGTGTTCCTTGGTCTTCATGATGCTCTCTGCGCTTTGAACAGAACCCTGAGACTATCACAGAACAGGTGCATTTATACGGAGACTTGATTACACACAGGTGGATTCTATGTATCATCATCAGTTATTTGGGACAACATTCATAGATCCTCACTCAGGGGCGGACTGGGACAATAATCCAGGCCGGGAATTTTGATACCATCCCAGGCCACCACCACCTGATTAACGCAAACCACCAAGACTGAGTTCAATTGAGCGCACTTTGAATGCATGTTGTTTGCACACGTCTAACTGAGTTTTCACTTATTGACTATTTATATGTATTGGCTATTCATATAACAAAAAAAAGGTCTTAATCTCAACGGAACTTTACCTGGTAAAATAAAGTTTAAAATATTGTAATACAAGGATTTTAATATTCAGATAATTTATTGGAGTAATGAAGGGTATACATAAAATATCCTCAATAATCCAGGTAGAAATTCTAAAAAAGTTAAGTCAGGTCCTCTGGACAGATTAAAAAAAAACAACAACTTGTTGAAACGTTTAGTCTTTAATCCAAAAGACTGTCAGTTTGAGAAGCTGCAACAAACTTAGTTTCAAATAGTCTCTTTTCATAGTGGATCAACCAGTTTGTTGCTGACATCCAGAACTAGCTGTTAACATGATAAAGGAGGACCATCATCAGCCTAACAATGGATCGTTAGTGCTCTAGGCTGTTTGCTATTCACAGGGGGCTGAGAGATACCAGCAATAACAGCATTGTAAGAGGGCTACAGTTGGACACAGAGGCCTCTGTCCCTGTTTAATGATGGATGAGTTCTCATCACAAAGATGGCTTCCTTTACTCCTCTCTCAAACCAACACTTCTCTCTATCAAGGATGAGCACATCTTCATCCCTGAAAGTGACTGCTGGCCTGCAGATG